CGAACCCCTTATTTCTATAGTTTTCAAAATATGACATTACACCTTCCAACTCTTTTATGGTAGTATCATTGCACATTGATTTAGATTGTAATTTCTTACTTACCGTGTTGATAACAAATAAAATATCATACCAGATAACCATTCCAAGTAAGAATTCAAAACTTTGAAGGGCACTAGCTAAACTTTCTGCTTCACTTTTTGCTTTTGCATCATTACCACAATATTCATATAATTGTAACAAAGCTAACCTTATTTTAGGAGTATGACATTTAATAGCTTTGACACTTTTAATTCGACTTTCCCATCGAGTATCAGATAAAGATTTCACAGTTTCCGGAACATTATCACATAAAATTTTCCACCTTTTGGTAGAACTTGCGAACAATGAATATATACGTTGCACAATCCCAAAAAAAGAAATAACTTTAACACAAAAATGTGCCATATCAGAAAGAGAAAGATTATGATTATGACAAGCGCATGGCATATATAAAGCTCTAGGATTTATTTCAAGTAATCTCTTTTGAACACCTTGGTGTTTTCCTTTCATATTAGAACCATTGTCATATCATTGGCCCCTCACATCATCAACGTTCAACTATAGAGATTGCAATGTATTTACTAATTCATTGAAAAGCCCCAATCCAGATGTATCATCTACTTTCAAGAACTCTAAAAAGTACTCTTCTATTTTTACTTTGTTGTTTGACATATTTACGCATCGCACTATTAGAGTCATTTTTTCTTGATGACTTACATCAGGGGAACAGTCAAGAATAACAGAGAAATACTTTGCCTTCTGGATGATCTTTATAATAGAAGTTCTAATACTATGAGCCAAGAGAGAGATTAATTCATTTTGAATGATATGACCAAGATAATGATAATGAATATTTTCACTTTGAATACGCCTAATATGGTCTTGCATAGGCAAATCAAATTCAGCAATCATTTCAATTAATCCTAAAAAATTTCCATTATTCTCATCGTAAATTTTCTCACTAGATCCTCGAAAAGCTAAATTATTTTTAGCAATACATTTTACAACACAAACTATTTTTATTAAAACTTGCCTCCAACATTCTTTCTCTTTTGAAATTCCTTGTTGTAAATCTTTATCAAGTGTTTGATTAGTTTTTAATCTCACTCCAAAAATTCATTTTAGTCATATGCTCAATACTATTTTCATGTTGTTCGAGTCTCTCACTAAGATGCTTCCAATCATTTAATCCATCATTTGCTAAATAACTCTTATTATTTTGTTTTGTAAACAATTTACAACAAAAACAATAAACTTTGTCCACATGTTTAGAATAGACCAACCATTTTCTATCGCTAATCTCTCCATTACTCAAGTTTTTAGAAAAATAAGCATATGAAAAATGCCTAGAATTATTGGCTAAGGGAAATTTCATATTCAATTCTCTTATAGGCCCCTTTTCAACTAAAATATCTCTAGATTTGTTATTAATATTACCCCAATTTCTAGGATCATAAATGTCTACAGTACGGACAAAGTGTTGATCAATCCCAACATCTTCAACATTAGACTCATTTTGTGCATGATTATGGACATTTAAATTAGACTCATTTGAAGAACTATCAAGATTATTTAAATTCTCAGCAATATCATTTAAATTTCATTAGAAGACTCTCCTACTCTATTTTTAAAGAATTTATCAAGAGCTCCCTTTTGTGATTCTATTAAATCATCTATTTGTTTTCTTTTTTCACTACCAGACAAATGTTTTTTAGGAAACATTATATAACAATGCAACTAATGTAGAAAAGAACAATAACACCTGTAAATGGGAAGATCCTCGATTGAAGTATTTATACGCTAAATTCGCAACACCGTAATGATTGAACTTAGAAGGAAGATGAAGTATCTGCATATCCACATTTGACATTTCATATCCAAAATTTATGAAACAAAAAAAAAAGAGAATAAGTTTATCTATAATTTAGAAATATATAAAAATAAAAATAAAAAGAATTTGGAAACACGAACTTACTTAGGATTTTAAAAATATCTTCAATGACCACAATTGATGATAAGTAATTGTGTTTGTGAATTGTGAGAAATATGAGAAATTGAAAATTGAGAACAATAAGAAATAAATTGATTTTACTTCAATGTTCTCCTATCATTTATAGGAAATAAAAAAAAGTAACCGTTAGCCCTCTTGGCTTTTGCATTAACGTTGAACATCCAAAAAAATTTAAATTCAACTTGCATTAATTTACACTAATATTTATGAGTCATCTGGCATTAATGTAGAAATAATATATTAATATTTATGTAACCGTTATGGGCCCTTGGCTCTTGCATTAACGTTTATAAGATGAGAACATCCAAAAAAAATTAAATTCAACTTGCATTAATTTATACTAATATTTATGAGTCATCTTGCATTAGAAATAATATATTAATATTTATGGTAATCGGGCCCTCGTGATTATGATGAGAAATGTTTAAAATTGAACATTAATATTTATGGGGCCTTTGCATTAATATAAAAAATAATATATTAATATATATGAGCCCTGCTTTTAGTTTAATTTATTAAAATATAATAAATGAATATAAATAAAAATTATGGGCCCTGGGCGGGTGCACCTCTTGCCCCTGCCCAGAGCCGGCCCTGACCCGATTCTGTTTCAAAATTCAAAAGCACACTTAATAAATGTTCATCATGATTAAGTCTGCTTATACATAATATTGACAACTTTTTCTTTTTGGAGGGTGGGAGGTAGCCTGTAAATGAATTGAACGTTCAGCGAACCGTTTATGAATCGTGCAGCGGGAAGTTCGTTTATGTTCGTTTATTTATTAAATGAACGAACATGAACAAGATTTTTTGTTCGTTTAATTAAATAAACGAGCACGAACAAATGGCTCGTTCGTTCATTTACGTTCGTGAACGTTCGATTATATGTTCGTTTATGTTCGTTCATTTATGTTCATTTACGTTCGTTCATTTATGTTCGAACAGAGGGCAAGTTGAATATGTTATGAAGATTATTGAAGTTGTTTGGATCTCAAGAAGATTGTTTTGTTGAATAAATTAACTTTAAGACTTTATTATGTTCATATAGCTTATTTATGTTTCATGTATGTTTTTGTCGTATTCGAACAAATTAACTCTAAAGTTCCAAGTTATATTAATGAATTTTAAGTTGATATTCTTGTTGTTTACTCATTTTTTTTACATTCATTTGTTGTGTTCGAATAAATTTGTTTTTTGTATTTGTGTTGTTCGTTTATATTTGCTTATTATGTTCATTTATCATGTTCTTTCGTTTGTGTTCGTTTACGTTCGTTTATGTTCGTTTATCATTTAAATGAACGAACATGAACAATCTATATTCCTTAATGAACGAACATGAACAAAAAAAAATTGTTCGTTTATGTTTGTTTATTTATTAAATGAACATACTTCCGTTCATGTGCATTCGGTTCGTTTACAGACCTAGTGGGTGGGGTACATACAAAAACCTTATTAAGATATATATATATTTGTTCATCTGTTTTATTTGACTGTAGTTTCACGGTAAAGCTACCTTTAGAAATAAACCCTTTTCACTTTTTTTTTAATATTATCATTTTGTTAACTGTTAATTAATTTTATGTTTCTTTAACCAGGAAATTATCTTTTGTATGGGGACTGAATCTGTCGAAATAGTGGAAGTAGTCGAGACTTTGGCTTATCCTATCTCCTTTAAGGTACAATTCCCGAATCTGTTTTTTTTTAAATAAACCAAACAACGTCATTTGTTATGATTTTTTTAGCCCAAAAATTATTTTTTTATTTTGTCAATATTTTAGAATTTGAGAGAATCAATTTCAATTAATATTATGATGATTGATACTTGTATCAATTATGTATTTTTTTATTTAGTTGTTAATGAATTTCATTAGGTATTTACCTTAAATATTATGTTGTAGTTGATTTGAATAATTTTGTTTCACTTGATGTTATGATATTTAACTTTTATATGTTATGACTTGTGATATTTTTATACCTTTTAATATTGTGAACTTAAAAAGAGTGTTATATATATATATATTAATATTGTTTTGAATATTATGTAAAAAAAATTTTAAAAAAATTATTTTATATAAATTGGTTTAATTCGGTTGAACTAGTGAATTAGTATCTTCACCGGTTTAAGGTCTGATACTGTTTTAAAAACATTGGATGGATGTAATATATATAGTTAATGTATTATCAAAACACTTTTGAGAAGAGAATATATATATTGAGTTACTATTAGAAGAGTTACTATTAGAAGAGAATGTTGTTCTCTTTATAGAACTCGGATTCGAGTGGTTGTATGTCCAAGATGTATATGTATTATCAGTAAAGTAATTTTTTAAATAAATATATATTTTTAATCTCATTCTAATAAATATTAAATCACTTTTAATTTTTTTTAAACTTAAATACCCTAATGTAATCCAATTTACTCCGTCAAACCGGAAAACATTCCATAGAAAAAACATAATTAGAAGAGTTAGAAAAAGAAAATATTTATAGAAATGTATTTTCCTTTTAAATAAATAATTATAGAAAAAATTATTCTCTTTTAAATAAGCATGAAAACGGCAACATTAGATTAGGGAGCTCAAAAGGAAACAAAAGAAGGGTCAGCCACTGATATACAAATAGTGGCTTGTAAACTCGGCAAAGAGCTCCATAACTCACTCATCAGTAGCTTTCTTTACTTTTATTTTATTCACTGACTCGGTGAGTCAAGTCTATCCCCCAAATTAATGGTCTTCTTCACGCGTGTGCCGTATTCAAAACACAACTTCTTCAACCTTCATATTTTAATACCAGTTTTGAAGACTAAAACAACAAATAAATTAGAATTACACATCAAAGGCAGCCTTTGAAAAAGTACAACACTCTGTTCTTATTTCACAAACCCTTTAAAGCCTTCCTCCTCCAATTCATCTCCCAACTCTCTCACTCTCTCTCTCTCTCTCTTCATACATGGGAAATGGATATAATCATCATATTCGACACCAGAACATGCATTTTAATCACAAGCTAACTTTCTTGCCCATCTTTTGTTCCAGACCATCCGTTAAAGATGTCAGCCTCCCCAAATGGCAAGACAAATCCGAACATTTGTCTCCCAAGATCAGTTGCATCGGACAAGTGAAGCGGAGTAACAGGGTTGTTGGGTGTCCTACTTCTCACAAATTCAATATCACAACCAAGAACGATAATGGCATCAAGTATTTCAAACTCAAGAAGCTGTTTTCTGGGAAGAATCTAACCGGCAGCCCTGCCACCGCCACCGCCACCAGTTGCAGAAGAAAGGAGAATTCGGTTTCAATCAACATTGAAAATTTGGATCCGCCGTTGCCTGTGACCAAGAGAGCTCCGAAACAAGGTGAAAAAGACGATGGGGATACTCTTTGGGAGAGGAGATCCCGTGGGGTTGCATTGAAAAACTTGCAACTTCAACAGATTCAACTCAACAAACATCAAGTACCGATGACAGTTTGAAAAGTGAAAGAAGAAGAAGAAAGTCAGCTAATGGTAATAGCTAATTTATATTGTGGATTTGTTCTTAAAATTCCAATTTTTTCTATGTTGGTTTCAAGTTTCAACTGAGGCATCAAGATGTATATGAATCATTCACCAATCTTCAAAGATTTAGGCTTTAATATCTCAAAATTATTATTGGTAGATCCTCCTACCCCACCACTATATTTTCTTGCTGATTATTATCTCAATGCCAAAAATCAACTGAGTAACATGACAGAACAGTGTTGAATGGATATGTGAAAGAAATCGCAGCGAATTGTCAAAGGTTGATGCACTTGCTGAAACCAAACATACACAACCAGACAAAAGCCACATTTTCTCAGTACAATTCATTTGTATCTGTTTTTACACCCTGTTTTCTATAGTGATCTCATTTATTACTTGAGAAAATCCTGTAGTTATCTGCAGAAAGTTAAATGACCAAAGAAGACAATGCATTTATGTTTTGTCTGTAATATGTTGAAAAATTAAAAATGGTTGGTGAGGCGAATGTTGAAAGCGCAAGGGCAGCAACAGTGTGATTACTCCAGTAGACCTATATCATTCACCTATGAACAGATATACAGTAAAGGATACTGACCGTTGGACTAATGTCCATAAGAGCTCCATGTCCTAAAAGCCAGGACAATGGTCAGCTGTGAATTTAGTAGGTCAAATAATTTAGGAGCCTTGATTAGGGTGCAAAAACGAGATGGGAGCACAACTTATTTTCATTTAGTTCCAAATTCAAAATAATGTTTTATATTTTCGGATTACTTAGAATGTGTTTGGACATTAGTATACTTGCATAAAAAATGTAATTATTATTCTAATAATTATACGTAAATGTACTTATATAAAGAATTTAATTTTCTGAACATGCATGACTGACGATTATCTCACCATCACTCTTTCTTCCATAGAAAAGAAAATCCGTCAATTTCTTCCATGCTTTTAAATGAAAATCAAAAATGCTTTACGGACTGTAAATGAAACTTGAGGGAATGGATATGATTTTCGTTCTGGGAAATGTGAATGATGTTTGATAATATCAGGGTTTTAGGGGAATAAAGCTCGCTCAATTCTGAATACGTCGGTGCCCATTTAGAAAGAATTCTAATGTTGCATGGACTGGTCATAATTTGGAAAATCCAGTTCAACTTTGAAGATAACTCCACAATCTTTGTATACTTGGAAACTCTACCTTTATCCAATTATAGCCATTGAAAATATATGGTGGATGATAACTCATTAAATCATGATGTTACTGGAGTGAGAAAATAGATTATATCCAACAATAAGGTTGGATTCAACAGAGCTATTTTATAAATAAAAAACTCAATCAAGTATATCCAAGGCCGTTATGCTTTGAATCAAGCCTAGTTCGGATTCCAGTGCTGCAACTTAATTAGCCATAACCAGAGGGAGATGCGACTCCGAAATGCCCTTTGCATCCAAAACCAACACTTCCACAACAGATTCGATATGTAGTAATTTTTTTTATAAAAAAAATGACGCCATTGTATGCATCAGATTGGGCAACATTTCTTTGGCAGGTTAATGTTAAAACACCCTGTACAACAACTACAACTATACATCAGACTCGAGCAATCACAGTAGGACACAATTTTCCCTTCTTTTTGTTCAATAAGCAAATCTCCATTCCTTTGTTATCCCCAATCCCCTAACCACCCTTCAGGACTGAAGTTTTCAAGCCTCTTTGGCAAAACATGATGGAATGAAATCCTCACTGTACAATTACTCGTGAGATATACAACAAATGATATGCCAAAACTTCCCACCCCGAGTCGCATGATGCACCTCATCATATCATTCGACCAATCAATATACCACTGATTCTGCCACTCAACCGCCTTCATAAAGATATACCTCAGGTTCCGCACCGAAAACAGTTATAGAAGTCAAAGATGGCCATCACCTCTCATTAGGCAAGTGAAACACCTCAGGTATTGACAAGAACTAACCATTGTGCTCCAATTGTCCATCAGACGAAGCATCCTGTGGGAGCTGCTTCTCCTTAGGAAGACAGTCGACAGGAACATAACAATATCCTTTCGGTAACCGTAAATTCTTCATTGATGCTTCATCCGATGTCATTACCAACTCCTTTTCAAATGTTTCAATAGGCTGAAATTCACAAGAAGTCAAGCATCAGTCAAATTCCTGCGTGCACATGCGAGTGAATTTAAGTGTAAAATATTATACCTTTCTGGATTTTGAGTTCCATTCTGCATTAACCAAAGCATTACGAGATGCAAGAGAATATCTATGAGGGATTTGCTTCCCAGAAAATGGCACCCTCTCTGTTTGCTTCCGAACAAAAAGGCTTTGGGAAGTGGAGCTGTCATCAGTCCTTTGATAATTGTCCACAGGCATAGGAACATTCTTCGTTTGGTGCTTCACTGAAAGAGTACTGTCCACAGTTACATCATCTGATCGCATTGCTTCGCTGCATGATTTGTTGTCATCTGTATGGCCTTTGAGAGAAGTCGTTGCAGATTCTGAGCTAACTTCAGGATGGAAAAATGGACTATGACTAAGCACAGTACAAGTGGCATGCTCTCTTTTACAAGCAAGTATTTCGTGTGAGCAAAGAACCAACTCCCGCTGCAAACATTCACAATCACATTCAAAGATTTAGTTGTATGAAATGGAAAAACTATCCAGCAGCAGCAATCACATACGCAAAAACAAGATGCTAAATTAGAAAAAACAACCTTCAATTTTTCACGTTTGATGATTCTTTCACAAAGAAGACGTAATCTCTCCAGTTCAACCTGTAGAGGAGAATCCATGTAAAAAAAACGCCATGTATCTAAGTAACCAAAAAGTTGACAATAAAGTCCTTACCCGAATTGTCTTCATGTTTTTCAACTCCTCAATTCCATGTTTTTGATTTTCAGCCTACACATGTTATTGAACAGATAAACAACACAGGAAAAATAGAATACTACAAAAAGATAAAAAGAAATCAAAGTTTCCAAACCTTTGCTCTCTGTTCCACACTGTGCTGTTCACAATAAGCTTTGTGATGCAATTTGCCACCACCAAGCCTCACATTCATACAGAATCCAGCACTTCTAGCACAGGAGGGATGAAAAGTGATCTGACAGTGACTACACTGCAAAGAATAAAATTGAAGCTGCTTAGCAATAAAGTACACTAATTGCAATATTTTTGAATTAACAATTTTATTATAAAATAGGCATTTTTTACCAAAAAAAAAAGAAAAAGAAAAAGAAAAATGAAATTATATCGCACCTTGATGCATGCACCATGCTTGCAACCGCATATACAACAAATGTCAACCCCCCTTGAAGCCATCTCCTGATATTCCATTCAACATAAAATTAAATAAGATCTATAGAACTCTCTCCAAGTAGAAGTTATCTAATGCCCTACACCCATACATACCATTCCTTCGACAGGATTAACTTGTCCCCTTCTAAAGGTCGATTCAAGAACCCACTACAAAATATTAAGAAAAATATCACTTCATTTCATTTTATTTCATTGAAAAGAGATGAAAGTTAATGGAACAAGAAGAAATAGAAAATCACCTCCGCACAGAAAGCATGTACCCACTTGCCATCCACAGATTTCCTAAAAGCACCAGTAGTACCACCGCATAAGCCACATTCAACAGCAGGATAAGGTTTCTCCCAAAAGTTTAGAGATGGAGCTCCAGAGGATCTAGATGAAAACAGTTCTTCACATAATTCACAGCGCCAAGGACCTGTAGATTCCTTAACATTGCAATAGCAATCCAAGTGAACTGCAACCTGTGAGAAGAAGGGCTAAATCAAAATCCCAAACAAATGAAAGTAAAATTTCTCATTAACTAAAGGAAAACTATAGTTTTAGGCCCGAATACCTTGCACCCAGAACAGACTAAAATAGGATTCAATACTGTCTCAGATCGTCTGCAGATGTCGCATGACCTAGGATGTCCTTTAGAAAAATCTATAACTGACTGAACAATATCAGAGTACTTTTCAGATGAGATACTTGGGACAGCATTCCTAAAAAGTGCATCTTTTGCTCTTGTCTGATTGTTAACGACAGATCTTCCAACAGAAGCATTTAGCTTCAATAGATTCTGCATAGAGAATATAGTAAGATTTTATCCTTATTTAGAAGCAAGAGAAAAATATATAGAAAAAGGGATACATATGTATAACCTCTTGATGACTAGAATCTTCCAAGCCATCTTTTCTTGATGACGAAATCCTAGAGGAAGCTGCGACAGCAGCAGTTGCAGCGGCCAACACTGCCTGTGCCTCCTTATGCCTTCTCTCTTTACGGCCCTGCTTCTTTGCTTCTCTTAGTTCATAAAGATATTGATTAACGAACGCAGTATGCCATATCTTTTCCCTTGCTGTTTCAACCTCCTGTGATAGACTTTTAGCAACCCTGGAAACTAAATTATCTGCAAGCAGGAAATTACACAGAATGCAGATTATAGGTTACATCACAATCATACACAGAAAGAACCCTAGAGTAGAAAAGATGAATACCAGTAACATGGTTTCTTGAAACTGCATTGCCCAGTAATCTATGTTGATAATAAATGATTTCCCCTTCTACCTCATCCTCGGGAGAAAAATTGAGAGCCCCCAACTTCCTAGCCTTAACCGACAGCAGTGAATCATCAGATTGACAACGCTTTTCATTGCACTTTGAAAGTTCACTTTGGTGATTGCAGCAAACACTGGCATTTGAAGATGCTACAAGTCGAGAGAGATCTCCATCCCCTGCACCTGCAAAGTGCAACTTATTAGACCTGCCCAAAACGACAAGCAGAAAGAAAGAAGAAATTGCAGCCTAAATAATGAGATGAAACTTGCCATCAAACCCCTTTAATGCGTTGTTTCTGCTTTCATACTCACCCACTGTATTCTTACAAAGCATCCCATTCTGCATCTGCAGCACTAGCTTCCATGTATAAGGGTGAATGTAAAAATTAGAAAATTCTTCAGTTCTTCTGCAACACAAAATTATCAAAAATCAGAAATTATCTCATCAAAATAAACGGAAAATCTCCTGTGGTTTAATAAATAGAGAAGGGTCTTTTCACAAAGTTTACATGAGTTCCGTGATAATTGGATTGATGATTGAGTAAATGGAATTTCCTTGATCTTGTTGCTTCTCAAGAGTGGTTTCCCTCTCTGATTGACTCCTTCCATAAAGGCTGTCATTTAATAGATCAGTTGAATTTCCTGTCGAATTGTACAATTTCAAGTTATAAATACAGTTCATGTCAGAATCATAAAGCACAATTAAATTGATTTCTGAGATTAAAAAAACATAATCACAGAAAAGTCATTGCTGATAATACAGATGCAAGCATTTTTCACATTTCATACAGTAGGAAAAACATCTCAACTACAGCATCTGATTTTAACTGCCCCAACTTCCGAGAAAACATGGGAGCTTTTTCCTTTTCAGGGGTCAGTCGTGGTCAAATTTAACATTAAAAATTACTGAATAATCTTAAGACAAATTAGGGGACAAACAGCATGTCTTACAAAATATGGTCAAGGATAAAATGCAACCTTATCGTGTAATTTTTTGTGATTTAGCCTCCAGACAGATGCCAGACTGAAAATTTCAACTGACAATTAGAACTGCAAAAATATCCTTAGATCATATCTATGTTGCCTTTAATTTTTTTCCTAAAGTACTCATGTCTGACATCTATGACATATCTGGGCATAGGTATGAGAGTATGATCTGAAATATATGCAAAAACATTGAGAACCCATGTTAGATGAAGACCCGTATCAAACACTTGACTGAGTTATAGGATCCTACCCCTTACACTTGTTACTAAAATAATAGCTCAAGGCGTTACCAGACATGGCATGTGACTTGATTCTACATGACACAAACTACACGTCAATACTAACAATAGTTATTGACATTCTACAATTGGCTTTAACATATTATGCAAAAAGAAATATGGTTAGAAGCCATATCTCCTGAATAAAGCAGCATGGCACCCGTTATAAAATCCAAAAGCAAAAGGTGACATTTGATTTACCAAACAAGGACAATCAGAACTTGGGACAACTCTGCAAAATGTACAATGAAGACCTAGCTTTTACAAACAAATAAGCATAAAACTAGAAAATATAATTCATCTTTGATCTGACTAGCTTTGGGTAACATATGCAAGAAGTATTGATATTATATAAAAAGCTAAACATTAGTTGCTTCAAGAAAAAAATTCTGAAAGAAAAAAGAACTTTTAGGCCACCGTACGCTGATTTCAACAAAACTATCTCCCTTGGAACTCATATGCATTTCAGCACCAATAGAACCAAAAGGGGAAAAATGATATTAAACCTTTTCCCCACAAATAGCCTGACAAAAAAAAGGGTATTACATAAAGCAAATAATTCAACATAGAATACCTTCAGATTTGTGAAAATGACTCTCCAAAGAGTTCTTGTAACATTCTGGGTTGGCTGAATTCTACATACAAGAGGAAACACCACTTAAGAAATGGAAGAAAGAGTTAAAAATAAATGGGCATATGTATAATATAAAAGTAAAAAAAATAATACAGGCAGTGCAGAAGCATACTCCCAAAACAGTTTCTTCTTTAAATATTGTGAGTTCAGACATTGAAAGTTATATCGGCAGATCACACAATTTTCCAGAGTGAAAGCAGGAAAGAGGGAGAAGTTAAAACACTAGAGCACTGTCTTACACATCATAAGTTCATGTTTTGCACTTAATAGTTCATTAAAAGATATTTCCTGATTAAGCACGGTGTAGTTACATGAGCACACCTTATAAGGCAAAATGCTGATATTATTCTCACAACATGACTAAGAAAAATCTAAACATGATCAACTTCATGGAAGAGGAAGCCTTCTCCAATCCTTTAATTTATTATTCAAACTTAAAATTCATAACATGGATTAAAATATTGGTTTTAAATACATCACAAAGGGAACACAACTTCCAATTTTTGCAACTTAATGGGGGCATGGTAAACCAACTGTCGGCACAACTTGCACAGAAGAGTATTGGTAAATAAGAAAAATTGTGCACAACTTGACTCAAACGAGTATTGGTGAACAAAAAGAACTGTGAAGGGCAGAAAAGATTCGAAGGCAGCAACATATATGCCCAAATATCAGCTTAGAATAACTTTCTAGAGTCATTATATAAACTACATCTACAATGTTTATAACATAGAACGGCCTACACAACTAGAACATATTTGGTCCAGGAAAGGAATATCTAAAAAAAACTAAATAAATTCAAAAATCAAAGCATTAGGCAAAAGAAGGCGTTCAAGTCACAAGAGAAGAGATCCTAGGACAGCAAACCAGACAACTGATACTTAGAAAGAGAATCTGCTGCAAACCATGTATTTCAAATTGATAGTTCAGCTCATCAAAGGGAGACTGAACCCTTACAACTTGTTAAAGAGAGATCCAGATGTTTTAGGGTTTTTAATATAAATTCTGCTTAGGATTTTATTATTCCACGCATCCCTTCATATCAGGACCAGATTCATTACATAAAAAGGAAACCGGAAAAAAAATATCTAGAAAACCGGGAAAAATCCAGCAATATAAAACATGTGCTCCAAAGACAAAGTAAACTTAAAAATCACCTCAAAGGCTACTAATGAAAAAGCAACAGTATACCAGATTAGGGAAATGGAGAAGATACTAATCATAGAGAGGTAATCAAGGATTTTAGACATCCAGCCATTATAAGCAAAGAAAAGTAAACAAAACATGCATATACACACTAAAAGGCAAAATTTAACAGAAAAATCAACTAAAATTAAAGGTTAGATTGTCAAATAAACACCTTTTAATTGAACATTAATGATATGGAATATTACCTTTCCAGTGGTACCAAGAATGGATAATTTACTCAAATCATTTGTTTCTTCCTTCGTAAGCAGATCAAAACTAGTCTCATCCATTACTACCCCAATATCATCAATAATTTCATCAGAGGAGCATATTACTTTATTATCCCTCAAAATCTTCACATTGTTCTTGGTAATTCTTCGATGGGGCATAGGCTTAATAGCAACAAGATCTGGTATGTCAGACTTGGATACCATTATATCATCAGAAATATCTGTTGCTCCAATCTCAGCCTTCGATGAAATCAAAGACTTAATATTAGCTTTTAATTTTTTCTGGGAAGAGACGATATATGCATGATTACTAAGCCATTTCACTATTTTGCATCGCAAGTCGGGTGCCAAGCTATCGTTCTGAAGAAAGAAAGACCAAAAATAAACATCAAAGAGAAATAAAGGAAGATGAAAGCACCAACTGACTAAAACTGCTTTCAAAAAACATTGTGAGATAAAGAAACCATGATTGCAGGTATTACATTTAATGAAGCACTCAAAGAATCAGCCGAGAATCCAATCTCCAACGCTACATCTTTTACATTGACTTTCCCTCGGTCAATTAGCTGCGCACAATGGAGATTGTAAAACGGAACAATTCAGAGATTTAAAACCATTGAGAAAATATTATCAACCCTTGGATGACTAGATCAGATACCTTCTTCAAAATCATTGCAAAATTAAGGGAGTTAGATGGGTTATGTTCATCATCGTTGCTCTTCTCCAACAACCCCACATCACCCAGCTGCTGTGTCTCACCACATTCTGATGCAACTCGGGCACTTGGTCTGGTATCAGACAAACCTATGTCTTGCAACTCATCATCACCAGATTTATCAGAGTAATCATCTGGAGATTCTCTGTCCACTGCAATATTATCTCCATTGCTTAGGCTATGTTTTGAATTTTGAGGTTTGTCCATAGAAGAGTCAGTGCCAGAAGCACAAAGTTCTCCAATTGTTGGGGAACTGCTGTTATCATGGATTTCTGAATGCTTGGAGCAAAAAGCCCTCAACTCAATCTGTAGAAAGAATATGGCACATTTATGATGATAAAAATTCAAAAAATGAAGTAGCTACTAATAAATAATAACAAAAATCTATGTCAGGAAATCATGAAGGGGGTTTTTAACGAGGCCTTCAACTCTTATAAAAAAAATCTATGTCAGGAAAAAGTATTGAGACATGCATTATCACACCCGTATCTTCCCCAAACTTCCATTCTATGCCTGGCTTCTCTTGCACATATAGGATGGAATGAGGTTCTGCAAGTTCCTGCAGAAAACACTAACATCAATCACAACAGGAAGCATCATAAACAGGTTCAGATTTCAAGAAGATTAATAACAGAGAACGAAACATGTCAAGACAACATAGTTCATCACTGAAGCAGGGAAACCAAGGCAGGGAAGGTCAAACCATGGTGATAATCTAATCATTTACAAAAGTTGTGCTCTTGGATAAAATATGAAATGTGTTATGGGCTACAGACAGAATTAAAATAAAAAATTGAAGAAAATGATTTTGGGCATAAGTTATACCACCTAATGAACTACTAATTTTCCAATTACTCAACGCATGTTACGTTTATAACTAATGCAACCTTGAAAGAGTTAATAGAGTTTGACTTCAGAAAGTTATCCAGAAACTAATAGCAGTTCAATGATAAGCTAATAAATCCATGAATTCATTAGAGTCCATTCAAAACTTAAATAAAAGAACCATTTTCGGGTTTCAACAGAAAAAAATGCAATGATTGGACTCCGACCAGAATGTGGATATAATTGATTCTACTAACCTACTCAAGTTCTTTTCCCAAATTTCTGAGAACAGTTTTGTTAACCCAAAAAAGTAACTGGCAATCAGATCTTCAAGGTAACAAAGCAGTTCACACAGGGCAAAGGAGCCAAAAACCACTGTGCTGCTTATGATCAAAGACATTATAATTCCTTACTATCAATATGGGGCACGGATATGATGATACACTTCCCTAGAGACCACAAGATTTTCAACAGAAGGCAAGAATACTTCAAAGTATTTGTATCCAGTATTGTCCATCTCTAATCCAAAATATTGGGCAGATAGATTAGACTAAAAAGACCACTGCCACAACAATCTGTGTGGTAACAAATACGTGAACCAAAAAATAGGATAATATTTTCATGACAACTTCAACTGCCTGTTTAACATTGATCAGCTGCAATTAACCTTATAACATCATCCAAAGTCTACACAAGGTCCAAGCAATTCGATGTCACAAGGGAAGAAAAATCACCTAAAGTTCTCTTAAATACTTCTACATAACAATTAAGTGAGATCTCACACTTGCATCAAAAGAAAGAAACACCAAAAGTTGTCAACATATAAAGCAGTAAAACTGTACTCTCCAGGTTCTTCATTAAATATTTTATATAAGGCACAAATTCAAATTTGAGAACAACTTTCCTAAACAAAGCAGTAGCCTCCGATAGAAAAATATGCTCTTGGACAGACCTGTTGATCTCCAAGATACTAATATTATCAGATGATAAACTTCTCTATAAAGGTTTGTTGACTAATGAAAGAACCTCAATTCTCAAACTACCTTGCTCCCTTCTTCATATACTCTCAGAAAGTTACCAGAGCAAAATATATTTATTAGAAAGCAAGCACAAGTGACAAAAAAATGATAACTGAGTTTTATGCAAGGAAGTTGGCGAATAATCTCCATCAAGCATTCTATTTTAACAAGCTCCCTTGCCAACTAGTTTATGGCCACAAAACAGATCTAGTTCAAAATTTTATGAGAAAAAACCCTGCAATGGCATACCAAATAAGTTGCACATATGTTACCTCCAAAGCAAAAAAATAGAGAACGGTGAGAAAACATTCTATAAACAGGAAGGATTCTAGAAAAAACTATTAATAATCGAACTTTGCCAACTTCTGCTCCATGTGGATCTAAATCTATCATAACCTAAAGGCTCTTTAAATAGGATAGTCCAACTTACTGTGTTACAAACACTCAACTTTAGCCAATAAATAATCCCAAAAAACAAGCAGAAATTATTTGCAAAAGGTCATGCTCAGTGATGGAAATTATTTGTGTGAACAGAAAATAAAAGGGAATTAAGGTTCTCGATAATAGATGCATAAACAGAGGTGTCGCCATGGGAAAAACACATTTTATTTGAATTTTTTGAAGTTACTACTTATAACACAACAAAATGATAGCCATTATTCTTTATAAGATGCATTTCAAAGAACAGATTTTGCAGTTGAAAATCTCTAGACTAGAGAAAATAAAAAAGTAGCCAAAGATTTTAATAAAAGAATACCCTCCTTGCACCAACCAAAAAAGAGAAGCAAAACGGTATATAAAAAAGGTAGCAACAAACATACCATGACTGCACCGAACACATGCACCGTACTTCACCTTGCATACATTACAAACTAATTTCTTTCTAGCATCATTTATTCCTCCAACATTAATAATTGGCCCCATCTTTGTCAAATCTTCTATATAAGCCTCAGGCATCCATTGTGAACAAAATAAGTGAGCAAATTCCAAAGTCGCATCATTTCCATCATTCTTTTGGATAGGCTTTAATGCCCCACCCTGCTTTGGACAAAGAACACAAGGTTTCACCGTATCATTGTCATCATTTGCATGCTTACACCATGAGCAGAGCCAAGAACAATCTACATCATTTTGCACCCCATAGCACTTTTGATGAACAGCAATCTTGCAAGAACTACAAACAATTAATTTGTTTGATTCTATTCTGGTAACACCGGTGCAACAAAAGTGACATAAAGATGAATTCCCATCACATGGACATGCAATTAATATTTTCTCCAGCCCAGCATCCTCTCCAACAAGCTTCCGCTTCTTTGAAGGTCGCTCTGAAGTTAACAATACCCTACTCCTAGAACCTAAAAGCCACTCTAAACTACTAGTTGAATCTAGAGCAAAGCACACTTCCGCTTCCTTTGGTGAAAACTGAGCTTGCGATGCACGGCTATCGATTTCCATCAATTGTACACCCTTAACCCTGACGACCTCCTTCCCTTCCTCGCCACCGTTTTCATTCCTACCGTTAAAATTCTCTCCATTGCTCGCACTCGCTCTCTCATCCACTTCAGAATCCAAATTTAAATTCCCCGTTGGCTCATTTCCAACATAAGGAATCATAAAACACTTTTTCCTAGCAGCTAAAGACCGAAATGGGGTAATATCAGACAAAGCATCGATATCCGGCAATGTGAGGTCCCTAAAATATTCTTCCGTTTCAACCCAAATGCCGGCTTCTCGTGCCTTTTCCCCCTGCTTCGATGACTTCTTATCTGCTCTAGAATGCGACTTTTTATGTCTCTTCCTACTATCAGTCTGCTTCAATAAACTAGCCAGTCCACTGGGCAGAATTGGCACGCTCAACCCGGCAACAAAACCACCTTCGGGGATATCAAAGGGTGAACGCTGGCTAAGGGCTTTTCGTGCCTGAGAAAAGAAATCGACACCAATATCAAATTTCTTCTCGGAAGTCTCGGGCAGGGTCACCGGAATCCGACTATAAACCCTAGAAATTGGGTGACAAGGCCTCTCCTCGGTACCACAACCTCTGTCCGCGCCCCTGCCCATCATCTTCTTCTGCCGTTGGTATAGGGCTCCAGTCATCACCGACGACAACCACAAGCATGAGTGCCTCCAAGGCCTTCAAATTCCATAAACGTCGAACCCTAGGCCTAAACCTAACCCTAATCCATCTCCACCCCTGGGAAAAACTCAAAATCCTAACCCTAAAAACAAAAGTTACAGTATCGGTCTTTTCAAAAGAGAAATAAAAGAATATGGCATAGATTAGCCATAGAAATGGAGAACGAAGAGGATAAACACAGCGCCTAGGGTTAGGGGGTGTTGTTTCGGATCCGATTTAAGTGTGGTGTTGTTTGCTTGTGGGTGGGGTTCGAGGAGAGAGAAAGATAGGGGGTGGGAAAATAAGAGAGACAGATTCGCGTTTCCTGCTGGCAAGAAGGACGGTTCGTTTTAGGAGGATATTTACATTTTTTTTTTGTTTTTAACTTGGGTTCGGATAACATGTATACGTGTTTATTTGTGCATGTGCACGTTTCACCGCGTGGCTCATCTCTATTGGCCTAAACGGAAAAGATGCAACTATCTCCAGTATAGGTTGTTTGGGCTCATACTAGATCTTTCTTTATTAGGGTGTAATTTAGCCTACTAATTTAAATTTAAAATGGTTTACCAGGCAATGTGACTCCTAAAATATATATATGTCGATTCTCGTATTCTCCTTTAATTTAATATTTCTGATCAGACATTGATTAGATTATATTTTTTTATCTAACAACCTTTACAGTAAGGTGTTCTCCTGCAGCGTGTTATACGTTGATTTGGCGTCACGTGGGGTAAGACGCGTCCCCTGCAGTGCGCCTTATGCTGACATGGATACACGTGTGTATGGCGCGAGACAGGTTGGTAATTTAGGGTATAGCACGGGGAAGGGATCGTGTCTTACCTGTGATTCTGACACGCGTTAGAAAGGCGCAGCCCCTGCCCCGCGCTATACCCTTAATTACCAACCTACCTCCGCCCGTTCACACACATTTCTCCCTATAAATACCTCATTCTCAAACACTTTCATCACACCAAATCCTCTCAACTTCTCTCAAATACTCTTATATTCTCTTATTAAGGTATATTTTATTATATTTAGTATTTTTTAGTAATTTATTTAATTATTTTAATTGTTTAATATTTTATTTAATTAATTTTTTTGCATATATAAAATGGAATGTGGTCTACTTTGGTTTGATGAAAATCATATATCTCGACACTTTACTGATACGATAATATTTTAACGTTTTAATTTAATTAATTAATTTAATGCATGATTATTAGTTTAAAAATTAATTTGTGTAATTATTTATATTTTAGGAGAGAGACCGTATATTATATCATTTTATTAGGAACCTTAAGTTAGTTATACCTACTCGTGTAATGCCGTATTTAGTAGAGGTTGGATTCAGTCACCTAGGTAGATATCATGGTCACTGTAAGATAGAACCATACCTTATTTCTGCCTTAGTAGAGCGGTGGAGGCCGGAGACCCACACATTCTATCTTCCGTGCGGAGAGTGCACGATCACGCTTGAGGATGTTTCTATGCACCTGGGGCTTCCGGTGGATAGAGGTGTGATATCAAGGATAGCTTCCGGTTCTTGGACTACTTTGTGTCGGGTTAATCTAGGAAGTGTCCCGAAAAATTTTAACAGTTGACAGATACCGTTAAATTAGTTAGATGTCAATTTTCGGGAGTTGAGCGAGGACGCATCTGACGATGAAGTTAAACAGTATGCACGGGCATGCATACTGCAGCTGATAGAAGGATTGTTGATGCCGGACAAATCGCTCAACCAAGTTCATTGTATGTAGTTACAACATCTTGGCGACTTTCATCTGGTCGGATCACTCAGTTGGGGCTCAGCAGTTTTTGTAACACCCCCAACCCGTACCCGACCCGGATCCGAGTCCGAGGTGTCACATTGACTTTTCAAAACATTTACTCGTATAAAATAGTGCGTAATTTAAAACTTTTATACATGTAACTTATTCAAAAGATTTCCAGAACTATTCAGAGCTTAAATGTTTTTGCAAAACCGATCAGAGCATATACAACTCAAAACATTAATTATATGCCAACAGTCGTAACCGGTTTTCGTCCGGGCACGAATTTTTTATACTTGGCGGGAAAAGTGATGTGAATAAATGGTTTTTAAAATAATTTGGGAGTCGTCATCGACCTTTTGGGTTAGGTAGGTCGAATACCTAAATATTATCTTTTAAAAGAGTTTTAAGAAAACATCAGTTAAAAGATGAACTGATATGTGTTTATAACAAAAAATTCGTTCTTTTTTATAATAAAAAGGGATTCGTGGTCGGTTACGTTTAGGAAAGGATTAGCACCCCTACAACGCCCAAAATTGGTACTTTTTAATTATAAATTGTCTCTATTATTGGAAATTTAAAAATTCAAAGATATATTTAATTCATAATTCTATTATTTCGAATAATTTTAAGAAAATATATTAATATACATAAATAAGATATTTACTTATTTAAAAATATCAGAAAAGGGCTTCTAGGTGCCTTAAGACATCTCTTTTCTTCGATATTAATAAATAAAAATAAATATTAAAATTTAAATAATTTAAATAAAAATAAATTATAATTTTTATAATGTTTAATTATTTAAAATACCAGAATAGGACATCCAGTTGTTTTAAGACTGCCCTTTTCTTTGATATTGAAAATAAATAAATATTATTATTTAAAAGAATATAGGTATATATTTATATGAATAAGATAATAAAATAATTATGAAAATAATAATTTAAACATATATAAAATTAAAATATAAATAATGAGTAAGATAAATAAATTTAAAAATAAGTATAAAAAACAATAAGACTTATAATTAACATTAGTGACTAAAACATATAAAATTAAAATAATAGGATTAAAATATAAAATATTAAAATTTATAGCCCTTGTTTATAGTATTATAAAAATATAATTACTAATGGTGTAATTAACCCTAATTATTAATACGTGATTAAAATTATAATTATTAAAATTAAAGACTCTAACTCGAATAATAATAAAAATCTAAGTGCTAATAATGTAATTTAGCCTTATTTAATTAATTCGGGTTAAAATGATAATTACTAAACTATAAGGGACTAAATTAGGTATTTATCCTAAATATATATATTATATTATGTAAAGGACTAAAATAAAATGAAATAAAATTACTAGATCGAATTATAATATATAAAAACATGCTATAAAGATCAAATTGAAACTTTTTAAAGTTACAGTGGCTGCGGGAATAGTTTATCCAGAAGCAAAATTATAGATATACCCCTCCCCAAAACGGCGTCGTTTGGGAAGGGGTATATACTCCCCTTCCAGCTGGCCTGAAGGGCCAGCGTTTCATTTCTCTTCTTTCTCTTCTCTCTCTAACTGAGAGAGAAGAGAATTTTCTCTCGCTTCTCTCTAGCTTCCCTCACCAGAGGGAAGCCGGTCATCGGCCGGCAGCCGTCTACCGCCGTAATTCCCACCGCCGGCCACCACATCCGGTGGCCGAAAAATTTTATTTTTATACCAAAACTTAGATCGGACCGTCCTAATGACGGTTCCAGTGTTCTTTTCTCTTAAAATGCTCCCGATCGGAGCAAATCTAGGAAAATACCTTCGGTTTTCGAAGGTTTTTGGTGACGCTTGGAGGCCGGTGGTGACTCCGATCGAGGTGTTATCTTCTCCGGTAAGTTTCTCTCACTCTTCTTTTTTTGTTTTATGGTTTGCTACTGGTTGTGTGGTTGTTGCTTGTTGTTTTTTTTTTGTGGACTCTTGCTCTCCGTTTTCTGTTGCCGCCTCTTTTATTTTGCAGGTGAGTCGAGGCTTTTATAGCCTCGACGAAACATTCCTCGGACCGGTCACAGAAGGGAAACCTCGGTGAGTCACCAAAGCTAGGCTTGTGACTCACCGTAGGGAAGGCTGTTGGTTGCCATCTGGCGTTCTGGAGTGTTCCTTAAGGCGGAGGCGTGGCAGCAAGGCGTCGGCAGCAACTAGTTGGACCATCTGGCTTGGGAAGTGTCGGTAGAGGCGGCTGTTGGGAGTTCTTGGAGGCGGCGACAGTGCTGGCTGAGGCGGTTGGATGATAACCTATAGTTAGGAAACCCTAGGGCTTCCTTTGCTGGAACCATCTGTGGACCGTTGGATCTCTCAGATCCAACGGCTGAGATCATTGGCGGCTGGGGTTGAAATGATAAAACCCTAACCGGGTTTTAGTGTTTATTTTGGGCCGACTCTGTTGGGCCGGTTCTGGTTATGTAAAACGGGCCTCCGGGTATTGGGCTTGTAATAATATATTTAATAATAATAATATTTATAATAATAATAATAATTTTAATAATAATAAACAAAAAATTAGTGTTTACAGCTGCCCCTCTTTGCTCATTCTTGTGTTAACAAGAATAGAGCAAAGACGAAAAAAACAATAATTTTTTATTTGACTTCTTTTGAGTAAGACTGAAATGTTGAAAACATCATTCAAGAGGTCTTAAAAACATCATGCACTGAAGGGCTTACAGATGACCTTAAGGCTTTGAAAACATCAAAAAGCTCCCGAAGGCTTTTTGGAAACATCATGCAATGTAGGACTTACAGATGACCCTAAGGCTTTGAAAACATCAAAAGCTCCCGAAGGCTTTTTGGAAACATCATGCACTGTAGGACTTACAAATGACCCTAAGGTTTGAAAACATCAAAAAGCTCCCGAAGGCTTTTTGGAAACATCATGCACTGTAGGACTTATAGATGACCCTAAGGCTTTGAAAACATCAAAAAGCTCCCGAAGGCTTTTTGGAAACATCATGCACTGTAGAACTTACAGATGACCCTAAGGCTTTGAAAACATCAAAAAGCTCCCAAAGGCTTTTTGGAAACATCATGCACTGCAGGACTTACAGATGACCCTAAGGCTTTGAAAACATCAAAAAGCTCCCGAAGGCTTTTTGGAAACATCATGCACTGCAGGACTTACAGATGACCCTAAGGCTTTGAAAATATCAAAAAGCTCCCGAAGGCTTTTTGGAAACATCATGAACTGCAGGACTTACAGATGACCCTAAGACTTTGAAAACATCAAAAAGCTCCCGAAGGCTTTTTGGAAACATCATGCACTGCAGGACTTATAGATGACCCTAAGGCTTTGAAAACATCAAAAAGCTCCCGAAGGCTTTTTGGAAACATCATGCACTGCAGGACTTACATATGACCCTAAGGCTTTGAAAACATCAAAAAGCTCCCGAAGGCTTTTTGGAAACATCATGCACTGCAGGACTTACAGATGACCCTAAGGCTTTGAAAACATCAAAAAGCTCCCGAATGCTTTTTGGAAACATCATGCACTGTAGGACTT